TGGACTCAATTTGCACTATTTCTGGAAGTCTGCAAAGGCCCTAAGACAGCAATCCAAAACCCAGTTATATGAATCCTATTGAATTCATTGGGGCTCATTTTGGAGAAGAAGTGCATAGAATTGCATTGTGTTTCTGGGACTTCAAATTACGACTCCATCCATCTCACCTGCATCTCCTCTGCTGTGTGTAGAGCAGGGGTAGGCAACCTGTCCCCTTTAAGGGCCGAGGGACTTCAGCTCCCAGAATCCCAGGAGCTATTGGCCAACATGGCTGAGGCTTCTGGGAGCTGAAGTCCCTTGGCCCTTAAAGGGGAAAGGTTGCCTACTCCTGGTGTAGAGGCTTCACTGCACAGCTGCCACAAATGCAGGGAAAAAAGGCAAGAAAAGGCCAAATTAGGAGAGAAGACTCTAATATATGAAAGCGAAATAGTCAAATAAATAATTATTCTCTATCACTGCTCTTCAGACCACATACTGTATACATCAGGGGTAGGCAACCTTTCCCCTTTAAGGGCCGAGGGACTTCAGCTCCCAGAATCCCAGGAGCTATTGGCCAATATGGGACTATTGGCCAACATGGCTGAAGCTTCTGGGAGCTGAAGTCCCTTGGCCCTTAAAGGGGAAAGGTTGCCTACCCCTGGTATACATAAAGTAGTTGGTCCAACTTTTTCAGGGTGCAATTGTTCATATTGGGTGTAAACTGGGTGCTGCCCCTGATGTCTTGGGGAGATAATTTTCCACTACTATATTTTTCCATGGAATATCTTCTATTTCTAAAAACTCAGTTTCATAAAATTAATTAGTAACATAACAAATAAATACAACCCCAGCCAAACTGGCCAGTATTAATACAGTAGATGACTGCACTTTGGAAATCTGTGTATGTGTGTTTGTGTAATTCATATCTTTTGGAATATAGTAAAATTAGTATATAAACAGTTTTTAAAAAAAATTAATGAGGGAAGTGGACATAATTTTTGTAACAATATATTTACAAATATTTAAAAAATTGAATTTTAAAAAAATAATGAGGGAATGAATGTAATTGTTATAATTTAATATATGTACAACTATTCTAATAATAATAATAATTTTCAAGTAAATTTTGAATGTATTTTCAATATAATATTTAAGTGTGTTTTACTTTATTTATCAGTTCCAACCGGAGAGTACTGATGATGTGGACAAGCTCCTTGGTAGAGTGAAGAAGACAACTTGCCCTCTCGACTCTTGCCCTTCGTGGCTGGCCATCCGGGGGAGATGTCTTGAAGATGTTCCTGCGGGACATCATCAATGCATCCCTTGGGGAAGGTCGTGTTCCATCTTCTTTGAAGGAAGCAGTGGCTAGACCGCTTCTGAAAAAACCTTCCCTTGACCCTCTGGACATAAACAGCTATAGGCCAGTCTCTTTGTTACTTTTTTGAGCAAGGTGATCAAGAGGGCTGTTGCTCTTCAGCTCCAAGCTGTCTTGGAGGAAATAGATTATCTAGATCCATTTCAAACTGGCTTTAGGACAGAATATGGAGTTGAGACTGACATGGTTGCCTTGGCTGATGACCTTCGTCTGGGCATTGACAGGGGTAGTGTGACCCTGTTGGTGCTGTTGGATCTCTCAGCAGCCTTTGACACAATAGATCATGACATCCTCTTGGATCGCCTGAGAAGGTTAGGAATTGGAGGAATTGCATTGCAATGGTTCTGTTCCTTCCTCTTGGGCAGATCCCAGAGGGTGATGCTCAGGAACAGTTGCTCAGCAAAAAAGGAGCTTAATTGTGGCATCCCTCAGGGCACCATCCTGTCCCTGATGCTATTCAACATATATATATGAAGCCACTGGGAGAGATCATCTGGAGACATGGGGCAGGATGTTATCAGTATGCTGACAACACCCAGATATATTTCTCCATGTCTCAGTCTACAGCTTTGACTTCAGATGGTGTCTCTCCTCTCAATGAATGTCTTAAAGTGGTAATGGACTGGATGAGGAAAAACAGCTTGAGACTGAATCCAGATAAAATGGAGGTACTAATGGTAACAGCCCCAAACCCTGGTATTGGGACACAATCTCCAGTCCTGGATGGGGTCACACTCTCCTCAAAGGACTGTGTTCGCAGTCTGGGGGTGCTCCTAGATCCGTCGCTTCAGATGACAAATCAGGTGAATGCAGTGGTCAGGAGCACTTGCTATCAGTTTTGGCTGCTATACCAACTGCGCCCTTTCCTGGAGGTCAGGGACCTCAAAACTGTGGTACA